CCTTCCTTCCTTCCTTCCTTCCTTTTATCTTGACCATAGGGAGACAGAGTGAGAGAGAGAGGGAAAGTGAGAAAGCAAACCACTAGGTCTGGGACGCGGACCGTGGTTGAACATGTGGGAGTCCAGCATCCTTAACCACCATGCCACCTGCTAGCCCCTCTCAGCTTTTTTTCTAATACCATTTATAGAATTATATTTTGGATAAGTTTTTGTTTTTTTTTAACTCTATCAAGCAACAGAATTATTGCTTCCTATTTTAGAGTGCTTTAGGCTAGAGAAAGAAGTCTGTTATTAGTACTATGAATCTTATTTTCCCTGTCAATTAAAATTTTTTGTTTCTTTTGGGGACCAGCAGTTAGTGTAATGACTATGTTGCTAAACTCCCATGTAGCTGACCACGGTTTGAGTCCTGGACCTGGTGGCTTAAACTCATGCTGGGTGTGTGTGCATGTGCATGCGTGCCCAAGATCCCGAGAGGAGAATGGAGGAGAAGGGATTGTGGCGTGACCATCCCCCCTGGGGGGTGATTTCTCGCTTTTTGTCTCTCTCTCTGTCTTTCTTGTGAGCACATGCGCCCTATAGCAAAAACCTCTCAAAAAAAATATTTTTGTTTCTTTTGAATTGGCCTCATTTTTCTTTCCTTTTAAAAAATTATTTATTTTATTTATTGTTATTATTATTTTAATTTGCTATAGGGCATATGGGCTCATCAGCTTGAGAGAAGGAAAGTGAGAAAGCAAGCTGCTAGGTACGAGACTCAAACTGCAATTGCCATGTGGGAGTCCGGTGCCTCAACCACCACGCCACCTGCTGACCACCTTTTTTTTTGTTGTTGTTGAGAGATTGTTGCAATAGGGCCTGTACACTTGCTGGAGAGACAGAGAGAGATGAAAAAAGAAAAAGTGAGAAGTCACCTCTCTAGAGGGGATGGCCACCTCAGTTTCAAGCCTCTGGGTCTGGGTTTTGAACCGTGATCAGCCATGTGGGGGTCCAGTGCCTTAACTACTACACTACCTATTGGACTTGCACTTTATTTTTTTTTAAGGTTTTGCCATAGGGTAGGTATATGCACCAGAGAGAGACCGAGAGAGAAAGTACGAGGGAAAATGAGAAATCCCTCCCCTGGGCTAATGGCCACATTACAGTCCTTTCTCCACCATTCTCCTTTCAGGATTTTGGGCACATTCGCACATGCACCCAGTGTGTTTTTCTTTTTCTTTCTTTTTTTTTTTTTTAACTTTATTA